AAAATAATAATAAATAAAGTTATACTAGAATATTTTATTATGCAGGGGGGCAATGCCCTAACCTTTATGTTGTTCCACGGTCAACTGAATATGTACCCCGTGATGGTAATTGTAATAAAGGTATCTGCATACATAGCAGAAAGGAAGGTATATAAAAAAAGAATATATTTTCATATCTGGGGAAATAGATTTCCATTTGTATTTCAAAAGGTTACAAAATAATTAGCCCATGAATGTGTTTCTGCAAAATCCAGATTGCCTGGTGGGAGAACTGGGTTTCCTGCTGGTTTTCTCTCGTGGCTACCGGTCCGTACAGCTTTGCTTCAAAGGGTTGTAATCATATTAGTTCTACCTTCACAGCAGCAGGATTGAAAAACCCATTTCCAAAAGATGTTGGAAAGAAAACCTTTTGTACTAGAACAGAATCTTCTTCTCCTACGGACCTTATCGTAGCAAGTCAACCGCCATCAGACTAGCTCTGCCCAAAGTGCTCAGCATTCTGTCTCCAGCGCCAGGCAGCTAGGTCTGCCCTGTGAGGTTTTGCATATGAGATATGTTCTTTAGAAACTTTGTCTGGAGATCTGTAAGGTGAGGGTAGAGAGCTTCTGAATTTCCTTGTTCTATATGCTTCTAGAACTAAACCTTGGGTCGGGGGAGGTACAGACAGTATCTCCTGCTTGTACACTGAGTGGCCAGATTATTATGATCTCTGAATGCATAATATTCTGGCCACTTGGTATAGCTATAGCTATAGATATATAGATATATAGATATATAGATATATAGATATATAGATATATAGATATAGATATTAGAGGCCCTGTGCATGAACTCGTGCATGGGTGGGGTCCGGCCAGCCTGGCCAGCGGGAGGGGACATGGGCTGTTGGCTAGCCTGCCTCCTGGTCGAACTCCTGGTCGAGGTGACACTTTGCATATTAGCCTTTTTATTCTATAGGATAGACACTGAGTGGCAAGATTACTATGCGTTCAGAGATCATCATCATCTGGCCACTCAGTGTATACTAATACTTAAGTATTAAATAAAAGATTATATATCATAAATAGCCTTAAACTTGGTAAGTGGCATGTTTTTTTTGTGGGTTTTTTTTTTTCCTAAAAATTTAGAAACATCCTCAGGATTCAGGCAATTAGTGAAACTTCTGCTGGTAAACAAGAGTTGGTATGAGCTTATAGGCAAGTTGATTTTATATATATATATATTTTTTATTATTGATTTTTCACAGAGAGGAAGAGAGAGGGATAAAAAGTTAGAAACATCGATGAGAGAGAATCATCGATCAGCCGCCTCCTGCACACCCCCTAATGAGGATGTGCCCGCAACCAGGGTACATGCCCTTGCCCAGAATCGAACCCAGGACCCTTCAGTCCGCAGGCCGATGCTCTATCCACTGAGCCAAACCGGTCCCGGCCGGCAAGTTGATTTTTATGAAACTTTATCTTATCACAAATATAGCAAGAATTAACTCTACTTTTTAAATTTTTTAAGAATGCCATTGTGCAGGGCTTTATAGAGACCATCTCAATCAAATTTTGAGACATCTTCTACAACTATGAGTGTATTTGTTTTAATATTTCATAAAACTAGTGGTAATCATAGATAATGTAATTGAACCATTCAAACTCTATGTTTACAATAGATGCATGTAAGCATATAAAATATTTACCACTAATAAAAAAAATAATTTTGAGAACCTGAGGGAAAACCAGTATTTAAAATCATATAAACAGAAATGCTAAATATCAGTTTAGGTTGGTATTTGTTAACATTGTCAAAGCAAGGGAATTAATATAAATGTTACTTTTTTCTGAGCATCTAATTTTTCTATAAATATTTATTCTCAAATATTTTTGTTTTGTAAATACGATTCTGTATCTACCTATTTTTTTGTCTAAAGTTTTACATTATGTCTCCTTTTTCCCCTCCCCCCCTGCCCCAGGCATTCCCACCCCGGCAAGCCCCCAGTGTCTGTGTCCATTGGTTATGCTAATGTGCATGCGTACAAGTTCATTGGTTGCTCTCTACCTCCACTTCCCTACCATTTGTCTCTAGATCGATCTATTCTTATTCATTAAATTAATTATGTTGATCATTATATCCCACAAATGAGTGATATTTACCTTTCTCCGACTGACTTATTTCGCTTAGCATAATGCCCTCCAGTCGCATCCATGCTGTTGCAAATGGTAAAAGTTCCTTCTTTTTTATAGCGAAAAAGTATTCCATTGTGTAGCTGTACCACAGTTTTCTAATCCACTCATCTGCTGATGGGCACTTAGGCTGTTTCGAAATCTTAGCTATGGTGAATGTGCTGCTATGAACTGATTGGTGTTTCTGGTAGTCTTTATTCAACCAATTGTGTGCACTTATTGAAACAGAGCTACTAAGCACTAATTGTATGCAAGCCAAATCTCATGAAAATAAATTCAGCCCCAACAAGTCTTCATACTCTTGACTATTGGTTTCTTAGCCAATGGCCTACCTGAAGTTCCAAGAAGTGTTCTGACTATAAGTCATTCTCATACTCTGTGAGAAACTTATGAATGGTTCCTTGGAGTTATGTTTTGTAAATATGGTTCTGTATTGACCTCTTCTTTTTTTTATTGTCTAAAGTTTTGCATATGTCTCCTTTTTCCCCAATTGACCTCCTCTTCCCCCCCCGCGAGCCATTCCCAACCCAGGCAAGCCCCTACCAGCCCAGTGTCTATGTCCACTGATTATGCTAATATGCATGCATACAAGTCCTTAGGTTGATCTCTCCCCCTTACCCCCACCCTCCCCTGCCTTCCCTCTGAAGTTGGAAGGTCTGATCGATGCTTCTCTGTCTCTGGATCTAAGATAACAACTTCTGAGAGTGGTGTTTGATCCATGATCTATGGTTTGATCTCAGACTTTCTTTTCAATGGCATCTCGCTCTGTGTCTGACCAACGAACATCCAGCCACACCTTTGAGAATGGTTGCTTTAATGACATCTCAGTACAATTGTATGATGTTCTACACAGCTATAGCCAGATAAGACTCGGGCGGGGGGGGGGGCAAAATATACTCCTTTTTAATTCTGTTAAGCACCTCTTCCCCCTCCTCCCTATCTGATTCCTCCTTCCATCCATTTACTCATTCATTCAGTTGTTCAACACACACATATATACTAAACTCTGGGAGTCATTGATGAATAAGATCTCTTTCTCTTAGGTCTTACTGTCCAGTTATTCTTGAACATTCAGGAAAATTTCAGAATTTCCTCCTTTTAATTCTAATCTACGGAGTTCTTTATTATTATGAACCATTTCAAACACTTAGAAGTATGCAAAACATATAAAATGCCCGTACAGTACCACACAGATTTAACAGGCATTACCATTTTGCTATGTGTGCTTTAAATCTCTCCAAATATAACCATTAACTCTCAGTTGGTATGCATATTGTGTACATAACCATGTCTGTTTTATATTTTTATTGTGTATTTATAGATTCATAAAAATGTTTTTTTTTAAAACCTGGACAGTGTGGCTTAGTGGTTGAGCATTGACCTATGAACCAAAAGGTCATGGTTAATTCCCGGTCAGGACACATGCCCAGGTTGTGGGCTCCATCCCCAGTTGGGGGCATGCAGGAGGCAGTCGATCCATGATTCTCTCTCATCATGGATGTTTCTCTCCCTCACTCTCCCTTCCTCTCTGAAATCAATACAAATCTATATTTTTTAAAAGAATATGGCACTGTTTCATGTGTTTGTATTTTACATACCTGCTTTCATATGTTCCATACCTGTTTGCGGTTTGTTTTCATTCAGCATTGCTTTTGAGAATTGTGCTACAGCAGGTGGAGTTCAGTTCGTTTTGTGACTAAGCCACCGTGTAGTTCTTGGCTGCGCACACTCGCTCAGCTTGCAATTGTTGAGCTCACTGAGCAGCATTACACATGTTCTGTCACATGTGTGCTTGAGGTTCTGTCAGATGCACAGGGTGAACACAACTTCCATTTTATTCTATCAAAGTGCAGTTCAAGCTGACTGTGTCCAGCCCTGTTGCCAGGCTATCGTATTCTTAGCTCATCTGTTTGATTTTACTGCGCGATATTTCAGTTCTTTCCATTTTATCTAAGCAGCGAGAGATACTGGGTGATTTCATGTTTTATTAGATGTTTATTATCAATCCATCTCTTATAGAGGTTTAGTTTAGGCAACAATTAATACAGAGGCAAATTACAAGCTTTTTAAGTGACAATCAACATCTATTTTCTGACATTTTAAATCAGTCCTCAAATCATTGAACTAACTTTTAAACACACTTTAAATTAGTATTAGGTGCTTAATTTTGAGTAACTACTTTAGTGACTTGAGAAACTATGACAATTCCTTTAATCATTCTGGTGTTGAAGCCATGCATTTCACTTAACTTTATCATCTTTGTTAAGAGTGTTAGCTTAGACCTGGCCAGGTTGCTCAGTGATTAGAGTTTTGGCCCACAGACCACAGACCAAAGGGTCATAGGTTAGAGTCAGGTTAAGGACATGTACCTCAGTTGCAAGTTCAATCCCAGGCATGTGAGGGAAGCAACCAATAGATGTTTCTCTCTATCTATCTCTATCTCTATCTCTCTCCCTCCCTCCCTCCCTCCATCCCTTCCCCTCTCTCTATTTTACTCTAAAGTCAGTGGGGGGTGGGGGGTATTCTCAAGTGATGATTTTTTGAAAATTAAAGAAAGTGTAAAACTTTAAAAGAGTGTTAGCTTAACGATATCTTTTGAAAAGATTTACACACAGATTTAAAAATCTAGTGATAAGTGTAAGCTTTTCTTTTCCTTGAACTATCTTACAATTAAGCAAATGAAATATCCTACCTAATAAGAGTAATATGCAAATTGTCCCCTCTGGAGTTTGACTGACTAGCAGTTTGACCGTTCGCTATGATGTGTGCTGACCATCAGGGGGTGGCGCGGAACGAAGGAAGGCCCTGGCTGGCAGCTGGAGCAGGAAGGCCCTGATCAGCCCTGATTGCCTGCCAGGCCTAGAGACCCTACCCATGCACAAATTTCATGCACCGGGCCTCTAGTCGCAAACAAGAAAGGAGCACGGAGGAGATCTGAGCCTTGCAAATGCTAGCGTTTCATTCAGGACAATGTGTCATTCTTCAAGGAATGGAGAGGCTTTTTCATGCATTTGCCAAAAAGGCTTTAGAAGCCGGTCTGAATTTTCGCCGCGGCTGATGTTTCGTGGAGGGTGTACCCTGGCTTAAACTCTGAGGTGCTTTCGCTCCGGCTCGAGTCCCCTTGGAACCCTCGAGAGAGAAGCTGGCACATGATTTTGCGGATGTTACTGGACATCAGGAAATACATGACCGGGTCCAGGCAGCTGTTGAACGAGGAGAAGACCAGCATGATCTCATTGGTTTTGTGAACGATCTCCTTCCAATAACACGACGACACGTTAAGCTGTATGGAAACATAGACAAAGCGGAAGGCGTGGTAAGGGACAAAACACACGGTGAAAATGATCAGCACGATGAAGGAATTGCGAGCTGTCGTAGCGTATTTGCCAGAATTGGGAAATTTGGACCTCCTTTTCGAAATCCTCAGCAAGTTCTTGCCGATCTTAATATAGGAAAGGATTATGAGTAGGAAAATCAGCCAGAACATCACCACAAGAACCAAATTAAAAATCGCCTCTCCTTTTTCGTTCATTTTATCTCTGTAATGGAAACACTTTGTGGGATCGTGGCCTCCTTTCTTGAGGTTTAAAATAATCATAGTTAAGAATCCAGCCAGAGCGACGGCCCATACTGTACAGCAAACGTAAATACTTTGTCTGGTCGTTACCGCCTTCCGCTGTTGTATGGACCGATTGATTTTTATGTAGCGATCCAAGCTGATGAACCCGAGCAGAATGATGCTAATGTACATGTTCATGTAGAAGAGCGTCCCCACCACCTTGCAGAGGACCACGCCGAGCACCCACTTGTTCTGGTTAAGGTGGAACATGATGCGGAAGGGGAGGCAGAAGATGAGCAGGAGGTCTGCGACGGCCACATTCAGGAGGTAGATCTGGATGGAGTTCCTCTTGCGGTGGATCCCCAGGAACACGTAGAGGGCGATGATGTTTCCCACCAGCCCCACGAGGAAGATCACCGAGTAGAAGGCGGTGAGCACTCGAGAGAGCAAGTGCTCATCCATGGGGCAGTCGGTGGCATTTAGCGCCCCCGAGAAGTTGCGTGGTGATGGGGCACTGTGGTTGGTCGGGAAGCAGGCTCCCTGGGGACAGGAAGGCCAACTGCTGACCAAAGTTGCCGTCGTCATGGTCACGGTGTGATGTCTCGTCTCCTGGAGATATCAAAAGGTGGAGGTCCCGAAGGACATGTTCCTTGCGTGTGGTGCTTCTGTGAAGGCTTCAGATTCGTCCTGCAATAGAATGTCAAACATTGATTCATTTGCTGTTTGAAGAAGTGACTTATCTACAAGCATCTTACCTAATAATAGACAAACATGTAAATTGACTGTACCTCCGCTACGCCCACAGCCAATCAGAGTGGGTATGCAAATTAGTCCAACAAAGATGGCAGTTAATTTGCCTACACAGGTGCCATGGTGATGATGCAGGCATTCTTCCCCAACCCCAGTCTCTCAGGGCCTCTGGGCAGCGTGGGAAGGCGAGGCCAGAGTAGAAAGACGGTGCCGGCAGCCAGGGAAAGGAAGGCCCATTCTAGCACGAATCTTTGTGCACTAGGCTTCTAGTCAATAATAAATGACTATTTTTAGACATTGCAAGAAAATTTACTTTTCTCCTACTTTAGAGTCTTAGGCCATTTTTGTATGTACACTATGTTTGTAACAGCATTATGGTATCAAAAACAAACAGCAAAAATATAGTAGAATCACACCTGGTCAGTATGGCTCAGTGATTGAGCCCCGACCTACAAACCAGGAGGTCAGGGTTCGATTACCAGTCAGGGCATATGCCCGGATTGTCAGCTAGATCTCCAGTAGGAGTGTGCAGGAGGCAGCCGATCTATGATTCTCTCTCCTCATGGATGTTTTTCTCCCTCTCTTCCTCCGTCTCCCTTCCTCTCAGACATCAATGAAAATATTTTTTTAAAGAAAGAAAGAGTGCCAGGTGGGGTAGCCAACCAGGTGGCTGCCTTGGTGGAGCAGCACTTGCATTTCTTTAAAAAAGAAAAACAACACGTGGATTGGAATGATAGTACTTCATTTCCTGATTTGGCATCTCCCACAAAGAACAAGGTTTGGGGGAACTTAGCCTCTCTTAACTCAAGCTCCGATCTGCTCAAGAAGAACCCGTTCCTCGGGGGCGGAGGGCGGAGGGGACCCTTATTGCCGGGGAGGGGAAGTGCGAAGAGGAAGCTGGGTGATGCTCGGTGAGGAGTCTTTCCGGAGTCCAGGGCAGGAGAGGGAGGAAGGCCAGAGGACGGGGTCTAGGCTTTCGGGCACCTCCACAGCAGGGGGACAAATTGCATCAAGCTGGCAGACTCCCAGCATGCTTCTGTGTTAAGAAATCTACAGAGAGGGGCCATCGAGGAAGGAGGGCAGGCTCCGAGCATGGTGCTAGCCAGGAGGGGGCACCGACAGAGGGCGCTGCAATGACTTGAAACTATGGTCTTTCCTCCTCCCAGGCTCCATGTACACTACATGTACACTCCATCCCAGCGAGGGCCACGTCTGTTCTGTTTGCCTCTATGCCCCCAGTGCTTCATAAAATAAAGATTGCTGGATGAAAGAGGGGATTTAGCATAAAACCATGGAAAGGACTCCGTGGGGATATTCAAGTCAATGGTGGAGCATAGGAAGGGCTTTGCTGACTTAGCAGAAACGCAGCTGCGCAATTACAAGCAGCTCCAGTTGCCATGGCAGCAGTGTGCTGTGGCAGCAACAAACACGCACCCTTGGGTTGAATTCCTAGATCTGGGGAGTCTTTCTTTATTAGTATTTGATTAATGCTTACCCGAGGATAGTTTTCCATTGGTTTTTAAAAAGAGTGGAAAAGAAGGGGAGAGACAGAGAAACAGCAAAGAGAGACACAGCGACCGGTTGCCCCACACAGGAGCTCCAACCAGAGCCTGCAACCGAGGTATGTGCCCTGGACTAGAATCAAACCCGGGACCCTTGAGTCCGCAGGCCAATGCTCTATCCACTGAGCCACACCGGTCAGGACGATCTGCTAGTCTGGACTAGGGCGAGGAGGACTGTATGTCTTCAGAAAGCGGGGCAAGAACCAGTGAGCAGACATCGAGGCAGATGCTACCTTCTGTGAAGGAAATGCTGTTTCAGAATGAAACGGTCCATCCTGGGAGGCAGTGAGGGTCTTGCCCCCAGAGGCTGCCTGGACACCCCCGCTGGTGGATTTGGTGGTTCCCATCCTGGCTGCGGGCTAGAAGCCCCGCAGAGCTTTATGGAGACTCGCCCGGCTCCCCCGCAGACCTGCCCTCATTGACCTGGCATGGGCTCGGGCCCTGGCTTCCTTTAAAGTCTCCTGGGGGGTTGTGAGGCGCACACAGAACTGAGCCCCAGAGCCGGATGGCTGAGCCGCGGCCTGGTATTCCGCGAGGTAGGTCGTGAAAGATCAAGAGGTTACACTCTTTGCCCTTGACCACACACATCTGAAGTGGCAGCGCCCAAACTGGGTCATGTCTAGCTTTTAGAGCCCATGATCCTTTGCGCCAAGCCTCTCTCCTCCTAAGCGCATATGGTCTGCTTTTTTGTTGTTGTTAATCCTCACCCAACAATATTTCTCCATTGATTTTTACAGGGATGAGGGAGGGAGGGAGGGAGGGGGAGAGGAAGAGAGAGAGAGAGAGAGAGAGAGAGAGAGAGAGAGAGAGAGAGAGAGAGAGAGAGAGAGGGAAACATTGATGTGAGAGAGACACATCTATTCATCTGTTGGTTGCCTCCAGCATGCATCCTGACTGGGGCCAGGGATTGAGCCCGAAACCTGGGCATGCGCCCTTGATCAGAATTGAACCCAGGACCCTTCAGTCTGCAGGCCAACGCTCTATCCGCTGAGCCACACAGGCAGGGCCAGCATTTTCCTTGTCCATGATGGGTTCTGTCAGCAGTATTTTGGCATGATCCCTTCTACATTATCCACAATCCTAAGAAGAGATGAAGCCGTCTAGCTATACCTCTCTAGAAAAGGTATTCATCTCTGTTTGCTATGTCCACTATAGCAGGTAATGAGCAGAGTTTACAGAATCACAAACCGTTTGTCACGGTGTTCAGCACTTCCCCCAGAACATGTCTTTGCCACCTTATTTCCAGGCCTGATAGCCTTAATCAAGATGTTTCTAGAAAGCTGCAAGCACACAACACACATCCCGAGACCATTTGCCTAGCCGTAACCTGCAAACAAAATAAATGATAGCTGGACAAGATCACCAATAAGCCTCTCTGGTTAGCTTTATTTTCCAGCTTCAATAAAATAAAGCAGAAGTGATGTATCTGTTCAACTAGTAATAGTAGCCGTCATTTAGAAGCACACACCGCACACACCGAGTGGCCAGATGACAATGATCTCTGAACGCATCATAATCTAGCTGCTCAGTGAATATCCTATAGAATAAAAGGCTAATATGCAAATTGTCCCCTCCACCAGGAGTTCGACCAGCAGGCAAGCCGGCCAACCGCCCATGTCCCCTCCCCTGGCCAGGCTGGCCAGACCCCACCCATGCACGAATTCATGCACCGGGTCTCTAAAATATATAAATACACACACACACACACACACACACACACACACACACACACACACACACACTGAGTGGCCAGATTATTATGCATTCAGAGATCATCATCATCTGGCCACTCGGATATTTGTCGGCTAGTGCCCAGTCATTTATTTACAAATTAAAAGACTAAATTCTGTTTTAAATCCAGTGGCTGCCTTTCGCCTCCCTTACAATGTGTCAGTCGAGATACATCTGGTATGTAACCAGTATGTTCTTAAGGCCACTTGACAAAGTATGTATTCCGTGATGCCGTTACTTGGCAAATCCTGAGGTTCGCAGCCCCATGTTCGCGCTGGGCTGTCGCCACCACCACCCGGCAGGTGCCCTGTGGCCTTCAGGGAGCGAGCTTTTCAATGCGGTTAGGGTGTCAGAGGGAATGTCACATGGCTGTGTTCCAGGACATACCTGTTTGGCGGCGGCAGAAGCCTAACCCCACTGGGCGACCGAGTCCTTCAGGCCATGCTTCCGAGGCAGCATTCATCGCTGAGTGCAGAACGGAAATGGAAAGCATGTTACTCTGGAAAGAATACCATTGGCAGCCCAAGCCAGTGTTGCTCAGTAGCTAGAGCATTGGCCCAAGGGCTGCAGGGTCCCAGGTTTGATTCTGGTCAAGGGCACGTATCTTGGTTGCAGGCTCCCCAGCCCTGGTAGGGGCCTGTCTAGGAGGCAACCAGTCGATGTGTCTCTCTCCCATCGATGTTTCTCTCTGTCTCCCCCTCTCCCTTCCTCCCTAAAATCAATGGGAAAATACCCTCGGGTGAGGATTTTTTTAAAAATACTATTAGTAGTATATTCGGTTTTGTTATAAACTTAACCATGCCCCAAAAAACATTTTTTCCACTTTAGTTGAATTAACTAAAGTGCATTTTGCTTTTCTCTAATAGTCCCCTCATTTACCTCTGAAGCACAGAAGTCAAAATGTCACACATGTGGTAATGACCACAACATAGCAACAGCATAGTAAAGAAAGCGCTCTCCTGAAGCTAGGCAGACAGCAGAACTTCATCAAGGTACTAAGGTCAAGGTCACGTATCATCGGAAATCATAAAACATCACAGCACGTAGGAAATCCAGTCTGCTGCCAAGGAAAGCAACTTGGACTTGATCCCAGCAGACCTCCCAGTCCTCCCGGCAGTGCACACAGAAGACAAGCAGCTCAGGCCGGGGGTGTCCCTCTAAAAGCAGGTGTCACCGGGAGGCAGCTTTAAGCAGAAGAAGGGGTGCCCGTGGCGTGGAGATTGGGGGATACTCACAGCTCAGCTCCGGAGTGAACACTCTGAGCCTGCACTTCCCTAGGCAGCCGGGCCAGCTGGGCTCCTGCATCCGGTGGAGGGGCCGTGGGTTAGGCTTTCTGCCTTTTTTTTTTTTTTTTTTTTTTTTTTCTGTCTGAGTGTGGTAACAGGCTTTTTTTTTTTTTTTTTTTTTTTTCCTTTTCTTTCTTTTTTCAGTGTGACAACCCTCAGGCTTCTTGTGCGAATATCTCACAGCCCCGAAACTCAGCAACAACTTTACCTTTCAGCTCAGCGAACGCTTCACTTTAGGAAATTATTTCTGTCTTTTGGGTGAAGACCTTCCCCTTGGCAATGGAGGGAAGTTTTTCCTGATCTCTCAAGAGAAAGGAGCTTTTTAAGTTCTCATTACAAACAGGCTTCTTCTATTTGAGAATATGCTACATGGACTTTTTCCCCTTTAAAATGTGTTATTATTTATAAAGCATAATAGTGGAGATAAAGAAGTAAACACATAAACTCCCACACCACCAAATAACACCTGTGCTGTCATACTGGACGTAATGCAATAAATATAACACTTTGTTAAGTTTACATATGATCACACAATTTTTAGAGATTAATTTTCTGTTGGTGCATTTTATATCCTGAAATGTATAATTTTAGCAAAGTAATATTTAACGAGTATAATGAAATGCTAGTCACTATGGCTAATTCAAGATATCACGTTTTTAAATGTAAGAAGGCTCTTTCTCATGACATAACTGTGATTGGCGCTCATTAGAGCATGTTGTGGGCTGTGACGATATTGAGATGAATTTCTGATAATTCTTAAAAATGTAAATGGTAGTTTACAAGAGCTGCTGGTTCTTGAATAATTTTTTCTTTTCCTTCTTTTTTTTTAAATATATTTTTATTGATTTCAGACAGGAAGGGAGAGAGTGAGAGAGAGAAACATAAATGATAAGAGAGAATCATGGATTGGCTGCCTCCTGCATCCATCCCACTGGGGACCAAACCCACTGCCTGGGCATGTGCCCTTGACCAGAATCAAACCTGGGACCCTTCAGTCCCCAGGCCTGCGCTCTATCCACTGAGCCAAACCGGCCAGGGCTTTTCCCTCTTTTTTAAGGTCCAGAATGTGGCCTTTATTTTGCAGATAACCAGGAGGCCATGAGGGTGGTATCATTGTTCCATCAGGTTTCATAAGGTTTGTTGATGACCAACTGTGAAGAGCTAGAGTATAAGTTGACAGAGTTACCTTGTGACTGTGTCTTATATGGACTGTTGTGGATAGAGCATTGGCCTGCGGATTGATGGGTCCCAGGTTTGATTCCAGTCAAGGACACATGATGATAAAGAATCATTGATCGGCTGCCTCCCACAGGCCCCTCACCCCACCCCACTGGGGATCAAGGCTGCAGCCTGGGTATATGTCCCAACCCAAAATTGAACTATGAGCTCCTGGTTCATAGGTCAACACTCAACCACTGAGTCACAATGGCCAGGCCTACCTCATTCTTCTATATTCACTTCCCCTCACCCTTTCTTGTCCTCCTTTGTTGGTATCTTAGGTTTCTATTTAACTCCAGTGGTCTTGATCCGGCATCTAGAAGGGTTCAGCAATCTGGAGAAGGGGCTGTGAGTAAATTAAATAAGAGTCCAGAGACTAAACATAATTATGGAAGGCATTATAGGGACTCAGAGAAAGAGTTAGCTAAAGGAACTAAGTTCTCCTTGTCTTAGGACCCCTTGCTTTTTATTAACATAATTTGTCCTAAGACAAGGTGGAGATATACACATGAAAGGCTAGGGTTTGTATACAAAAGCATTATCAGATTGGAAGAGTTACCTCTGGCTGTTCAGGTACTGGGCCAATAACATGTAGATTGAGATGCCCTGAGCTGTCTGGCAGCCAGCAATCATCCTTTTCAGGTTGGAGAAATGCCTTTAGCCATTCCAATAGGCGATAACATATGTGACTCAGCCATTGTTGAGTCCCCAAGTTCCATCAACCTTTCGATGAAACTCTTGCGATTATGACATGCTGGAACTGATTTCCAGCATCTATTTATATAAATATATCGATAAAAATAAAAACAAAGAAATAAATGGGTATGCTTATTTGGTGCCCTCTATTCACTGATATCACGGTCCTCTCTTTATCTAAATCCCAGCCCTGGTTAAATTCAGTCAGGCCTGTGGTCAGCAAACCTCGGCTCGCGAGCCACATGCAGCTCTTTGGCCCCTCGAGTGTGGTTCCTCCACAAAATACCACGGTCTGGGCGAGTCTATGTTGAAGAAGTGGCGTTAGAAGAAATTTATGTTTAAACAATATGGCTCTCCAAAGAAATCTCAATCGTTGTGCTGTTGATATTTGGCTCTGTTGACTAATGAGTTTGCCGACCACTGGGCAGGCAGAAGGGGGACTGCGGGGTACAAACACACATCACGCTGATTTGTCTCACTTCCAATCCATGACCACAGACCTCAAGTGAAGCCATGTGCTGCCAGTCTTGCTGTATTCCTGAGTCCGGGCTTCTCTAAGTATGGCTCCAGGCCAGCGGCATCAACGTCACTCAGGAGCTTGTTAAAAACACATATTCTTTTTTAAAAAATATATTTTATTGATTCTTTATGGAGAGAAAGGGAGAGAAATAGAGAGCTAGAAACATCGATGCGAGAGAAACATCGACCAGCTGCCTCCTGCACCCACCCCACACCCTCCACTGGGGATGTGCCCACAACCAAGGTACATGCCCTTGATTGAATTGACCCGGGACCCTTGAGTCCACAGGCCTACGGGCTATCCACTGAGCCACACCGGCCAGAGTAAAAAATGCACATTCTTAATTTCATCCCAGACCTGATGAATCAGGGCCTGCACGAGTGGGGCCAGCAAGGCTGTGGGATGCTGATGGTATCGTTTGAAGGTAAACCGCCTTAGTCAGCTGACACTCCTGCTCTTTGAAAATCCTTTCACACCTTCACTCTCCTCACGGCCAGCAGGCGCCTGCCCTTTCCCACTCACACTTGATGATCACTTCTTATTTTGAAGTGAATGGAAAGTAGAAGTGCTCGGAAGGGAATTCCTCATCTACATCCACACCTGCCTGCATCTGCAGGTGCTCCTGCACCAGCCACTGTGCATTACACCCCATTCCCTCTCTCCTGGGAATGTATTCCCTCTCTCAGAATCTTCCCAGCAGCACACAGATGCCTCTGTTTAAAAACAAAAGTCTGGCCAGTGTAGCTCAGTGGTTGAGAGTCAGCCTATGAACCAGGTCAGGGTTCAATTCCTGGTCAGGGCAGGTGCACAGGGTTGTAGGCTTCATCCTCAGTGGGGGGCGTGCAGGAGGCAGCCGATCCATGCTTCTCTCTCATCATGGATGTTTCTCTCTCTCTCTCTCAATCTCTCTCTCTCTCTCTCTCTCTCTCTCTCTCTCTCTCTCTCGAACTCCCTGAAATCCAGAAAAATATATATTAAAAAATAAAAAACAAAAGTCCATGCTAGCTGGGGTCAATGCGGAAATAGGGGACATATGTAATACTTTCAATAATAAATTTTTTTTTAAAACTTCCCTGAAAATCTCTAGATACCAATAGCTACCCATGAGAAGGAAGAGGTTGGGAATGAGGAGAGGGGATAAAAACTAGACCTCTCTGAATGGTATTTGTTTACAGTTTTCACTTTGAACTATGCACATTACTATACTAATAAAAGGGTGATATGCTAATTAGATCGGGTCAACCAGCCATCTTCTGGACATCCGACTTCCTTCCTGACAAAGCCATGGTGGTGGGGGCCAAGGCAGAGGCCGTTAGGTGTGAGATCAGGCTGGCAGGGGAGGGCAGTTAGGGGTGATCAGAAAGGCAGAGGGGTTAGGGGCAATCAGGTGGGCGGGCAGGTGAACAGTTAGGAGCCAGCAGTCCCAGGTTGTGAGAGGGATGTCAGACTGCTGGTTTAGAACCTAAGATGGAGCAGAGGAAGGGTTTTAAGGGAAACAGCTGTTGGACACCCCCCAAGGGGTCCCTGATTGCAGAGAATGCAGGCTGGCCTGAGGGACCCTCCCCCCCCCCCATGCACGAATTTCGTGCACCGGGCCTCTAGTGTTTTACATAATTAAAATACCAAATTAGGTCAGCATCTAATTGAAACAAATTGAGCTCACCATGTAAGAAATCGAAAGCGTAACCACAAGAATTCTTT